AAGAAGTTTTAAAACCTTTTTATTTTGCACCTCCTGTTTTATAGCTGTTGTCTGTTTGTACTCCAGGTGAAGTGCGAGTGCTCCCACACTAACCTCGGATAATAGACAATGCTTTTATTGACTAAACTGTCTGTTGCTGCTTCATAAGATGAAGATCCACGCAGATCGATTTAACAGATCAAGAACTAGTCTCGCTTTTTGCCAACGCCGTGGTTCATTTGTTTACACAAGAAGTGATGCGTCAGCAGCGGGTGCTTGTTTAGCTGGTAATCGGCCACCATGACGCTGCCTTAGCGGTGCAGTGTTTCTGAAGGAAAGAGGAGAGCACATCATGACCTCGGTGTGGGCAGTGTCAACAAAAACGTGGGAGAGGCTAGTAGGTCAAGATCTTCGGTGTTTCAATACAGATAAGTGGTGAATTCACACGACAGAAAGCTGTGAACACACACTCACACACACACACACACCTCTAATGGCTACCTGCCGTCAGCGGGGACCTGATTGAATGCTCTCGTTACCCACCTAACACCCTGCTGGGGAATCTCATTAAGTAACTTCTGTCGCCATAGCAACCCAGTCTCTAGGACCCACTGGTGACCATAGAAACGCAGACCATATGCTTTCGGGGGGGTTGCTCTATGAAGTTTCTTAAAACCAAACGCGATAGAGACTGATCGTTCCGGCGGATTCAGTGACGTCTTTCCTCCTTAATTTGTACCTTGTTGTAAATGTAACTGTATTGAGAGCACCGCCATGATTTATATGTTTAAAAAGCACCCTTCCTTATCAGTGTCATTATCAACTGCTGCAAGCGTGCCTCATATTCCCACTGATGTCTCCGATTTATCACAGAGTGTTTTACTCAGTAGTCCGTCGCTACGCGCGAACCCCTTGACTGCGACAGAAAATTACAAATCAAAACTCAACTTCCAAAATTGCTTTAATAGCAAGCAGGGAACAATTTTCGAGGCGAGACACTTTCGAATATTTATATTTGCGCCGTCTTTCGTGCAAAGCGGTAATTAATTATCTAGGTTCGTAAACACGAGCATGCTGTGTTCTTTAAAGGCATCGACGTGATGTCTCGGTTTTGAAGTTTAAATTGTTTAATTAGTAATGCAGTTTTAATTATATCCCTATGATTTGACAGGGTTGCTCAGATACCTCTCTTTAAACCCTCTGTTGGACTTAAGATTTGCATGAATGGTTTGCCAGCCAATTCACTTAGAGACACTTAAGCTGCCTAATTAACTCAGAAAGTCTTCAGAAAGAAAGGCTGATGGTGAAAGAAAACCGAGGAAGGTTCCACAGGAGGCAAGGGACTCCGGATTCAAAGAGGTTAAAGGGAAAAAAAACATGCTGTCTCCTTACTAAAAGGCCTTTCCTTACTGAATGATGTCCTGTTCAAGCAGTTTGCAGACCAGAAAAAGGATGAGTGTTTTTACGGCACTGCCTAGCTCTGAAATAGAAGGTCCAGGTTGTTCTTTCTCGTGAGGATTTTGTCTTTCCTTTTTAAAGGTGTATTTTGTGGTGCGAACTGTACATGGATGGACACTGACAGCTAGAATTAAGGATCTCCTTGGAGAGCATTTACAAATCACTAATATTTCAGGACGTACCGCAGGACAAAGCATAAGTAGGACTATTTTTTTTAGAATTTCCAAAATTCGAATAAAAATGGGCATGGCAACGGTAAATGTAACAGACCATTTATACCAACTAGACAGTTTAGACTGAACTTCTTCTCAGAAACCAGAACTCCTCGTCAGAATAGCTTCACATGGGCTTAGCTCCTTCATGTAGGGGGGGCAAAAGCAGAACTAATTCCCGTTCCTTTGTCCTTTGGCACATCAGATAAGCCTGAAACCAGGGCAAGGTACCCCTCCCATTCAGTAAGGCCCCTCTATCTTGGGCATGAATAACGGAGGTCACGCAACCCAAGGATGAGATCATTGCGTGTTACATAATCACCAGCAGGGTTTCAAAACAAACAGAACACAAAGAAATGCAAATACATATTTCTGCCTTCCTCCTATTATCTTTTAACGTCATAAATAGCACGGCGATGCTAATGTTCTCAGTGATTTTTTACCTCAGGCCATACCTCTGGTGTTTGTTCCTATTTTTCTAGAGGCAGCAGGAACAGTACAGCGGACAGGTTTACTACTGTTGATATGTAGCAGATGATTCCTCATTTTGTCTGAACAGATAGCACTTTGTTTTGCTTTTTATTGTCACAGTGTATGTGTATATTCTGAACCCTTCTAGTTTCACTGCTTAAGCATGAACATCAGTTCAAACTGCAACAAGGAATCCCTTTTAAACTGCCAGTTCGTACTAAAACTACAAAAACGTTGCCTCTGTGCTGTGATAATGCATTTGAGATAGCTTTAATTTGATTGCACATCTTCTAAATATCAATTTGCTGCTAGATCACTGTTGTTCTTTGACACTGAATGAGTTGTAATATTTTTTGCTTCTTATTACTTGGCAGTTTAGCACTGTGATTGCAAAAGGGGTTAAATAGTAATGGAAGCTGGCCCTTTTTTTCCTCCCTTCATTAATGACACGATTGACCTTGACCAACAAAGGTATTCTTTAAGAGTGAGAGGCTCGCTTGTACCCTGGGCCTCTGGCATGTAAGGCATGAGAGCTTCAGCTTAAGCTTTACTTATAATCAGAATATACAGTAACCTGCTCTGAGACCATACAATGCTATCTTATCATTCTCTTAGCTAATACCATGCACTGTGTTTTAAAAGGAAAAGGGTAGTTAGACGAACTTGTTTATGCTTTATAGCAGCATGTGAACATCTTTTTATAGGTCTTATGTTGTTTCAAAACTTCTTGTTGCAACACTTGCCTGTAAAATTACACCACTTTTTGTGGGAACTTCATCAAGGGTAAACTTAAAATTATGACACATTTGTATGTTGTTTATGTTTGTTTTTCTATGCAAATGCACCCTAAGTGTACTTAATCTGAATGTGTGGTGCTTCTCTAGCGTCACTGCTTACCTCTTCACTTAATGGTATTAGAAAACGAAGGGACTACAGCATCGTTTTCTGTTACACTGAACTCATTTTCAACAGGAAAAGCTGCTTTAAATTGGCCCCAAAGTAAAGATTGGTCATGCATTTTTTTTTTAAACACCCACCCATTCAGCGAGGTTGTTTTTTAGCACTACAACACCCTTTCTCTCATCTCAGCCTGTCCTAGGTGGCAGCACAAGACAAAGTATTCATGTGTGTCTGTTGGTTTATGTGTGTGTGTGTGAGTGCAGCCTTGTTCCCTTTTTAATATTCTAGTCACCTTCCCCTAGTCTTTCAGAAGCTCCTTTGCCTTGGCTGTCAGTAGGGGTGTAAATGGTCGGTTTGAAACCACTTGCCAGGCGGCTACACAAAAGGTATCTGTGGTGTCATCGTGAAGTGGGCCCTCTGCTTCCATTCATTTCATAACACAAACATTTTTTTTTCACTTCGTACGAGGGATATTCCTAATACCTTGCGATGGTGGAACCGGTATCAGCGTGTATCAATGAACACTCAGTGTGATTCTTTCAGGTTAACTGGGGGATTTCCAAGTTGCCTCAGTCTTTCCACAAACAAATACCCCTATCAGTGAGAGAAAGGGAGGAGCCAGTGTGCTAGAGGGAATTTAAAAAAAAGAAGAGGCAGCTCACAGAGGCACAAGGAGAACATAGCTGTGGGGCCCAGACGGTTTCTAGCTGCACAAGAAGGTCAGAGGCAGCTGGTCCAGACAAAAGAGTGGATGCATGTGGGTAGGTGGACCCACTGAGGCGGAACCACAGAGCTACAAGCAGGCGCACCTGATACCTGCCCCTCCCAGCTCTTTTGCTGCTAAGACCAAAATTAATAGGAGGGGGGAAAAAAAGAACAAATCCAGGGCAGATTTCCTCCATCATTCCCCTCCCTCTTTACCTTCCTCTTTCCCCTCCACGCAGCAGCCTGTCACATTCTCCACAGCCTTAATGAAACAGTGCCCTATTACAGAGAAATGTCCCCTATCATATCCAACAAGGCAGCGTTCAATAATTGATATCATTCCAATTAAAGAATAATGATTTTGAATTTTCACTGTCCGTCGGACGTAATGTCTCAAGTTAGATGTGAGATAATCTGCGAATGGGAAGGGTGCAACTTCACACGAGGTGTCAGGAAATAATTAGCCTGCTATATTTTATTGTAGGAGAGAAGTGGAAGCTGTCCGTGGCTCACCATGCCGGTGGGGAGGATAATGAAGCCAAGGTTTTGAATAAGCTTTTCCCCCGCCGCAGCTGACACCTGATCCTGCCTGGCCTGACGGTGTTTGCGACTAGCATATGATTCCCATGACACCCATACACCGGCGGATAACCGAAAGTTACCTTTCTACACGCCTGACACAAACAAAACCCAGATATAACCAGCTGCTGCACCAGAGTGCTACTTATGAGCCAAGGGGGAGCATGTGGGTGAATAATGCATCATTTTACGGCTCATATTAGCCATTGTTGTTATTTCTCAGTTGTATAGTCATTTATAATGGTCAAAGAAAAGTAATGAAACTGTGGCACATTTCATACCGAAGAAATATTTAGATTTTGTTTATGTAGTGAAAATTAGGCCGTCATTCCAAAAAAAAAAAGGGAAAAATATGATGAAAAGAAATCGTTTCCTAGAGGCATCAAGTAGCATAGCTCTTATGTTTAACGAGCTGGGAATACGCGAGTGTACAAGCACAGTTCAGCGAAAAGTGACTCGAATAAAGTTGACTCAGAAACACGAGTTTATTTCGCAGACTGTGTTGAAAGAGACGGGGAAGTATTTGTTCCCATGTAAATGTTTGATTGAGTGTGCGGTAATCTCTTGTGCACATGTGTTTGCCAGTGAGCCAGTGTTGTGAAATGTTGCACCGTATGTGGCTGTCGTAGGGGTTAAGCTATACTCACAGCTTCTTTGATTTTTATATAGATGTGTTGCTGCCGCTGTCTGTTCCATATTGAATTATTTTTTTGTTTTTGCTTGTTTCTTTTTTACTTCTACAGAGATGCATTGAATCTTCTGAAGACTTCTCCTGCCCCTAAAGCGACGCCAGCCGCGGTTGCACCGGCTGCCCCGAGTCCCGTCCCCGCCCCGGCAGCTACCCCTCCTCCTCCTCCAGGCAGCAGACCCAACATCCCTCCTCTCTCCATACCAGGGAAACCAGGAGCACCGGTGGGCATTCCTCGCAGTCTCCAAAACACATTACGGTTTCTATTTGGGGAGTTAGTGCTAAGAGCCCCCAAGATATCATTCACCCACAAACAACAGCCCATCTTCTAGCTTGTGCCACGTTTGGCCAACAGGCCTTAACTGGATTTTGAGGATTCCATGTAGCTGGTGTTTTGACTGTAAAGGCCTGTAGTGTTGTAGTATATCGCTCAGTTTGTTTTGGTATGTCTGTGGAACACCACAAACGTCACGACCAACCAACTTTGATCTTCATCGAACGTCTGATCTTTATCGCCAACTTTAATCTTTATGAGCCGTTTTATTAGGTTTATTAGCCATATCAAATGTGAAGTATGGTGCATTAACGTCAAAGACTGCATCTACGAATGACTAAACATAAACATTAACTAGTCATGAGCTCACCACCAAGCAATGCATCTTTACATTGTTTACCTCGCCTATTGTTCTGAGTGATGGATGTCACTCATTTTCTTTCCCACCCATCTTTCCTTGTTTCCTCCATCAAAACGCCATTTTCTCCTCATTCAATTATTTACCTCCCCCTTCCTTCTGCTCGTCTTCCTCAGGGAACTTTCACGGAGGTCCCCGCCTCGAACGTCCGCCGCGTGATCGCTCAAAGGCTAACCCAATCGAAGACAACCATCCCCCATGCGTATGCGTCTATCGACTGCGACATGGCCGCCGTCATGCAGCTGCGAAAAGATCTGGGCGAAGGTAAAAGCACAAGACCTCGAAGTGAATGTGTGTGCATTGCATAACTCTTCACATGTGCATGTCAGCATCATGTCCTTAAGTGGAGGTCCGACCGTGTGAAGGCGATTTTTTCCATGAAGATGCTGATTTCAGGCTTTTCACATGACTGCGCCATTCATGCATCCTGTGGAACATGTCCTCCCTGTGTCCTCATCAACGCATGATTGCAGCTTGTTTTTTTTTTCTTATAGAGGGAAATTGATGTTTATAGGCAGTACTTTGCAAATGTTCTACATACTTTAGATGTTTCTGTGCTTATGCATTAGGCAGGGGAAGCCTCACACTGATGCTATGACCCCCAGAGAACCTTGTTGTCAGAATTGTACAGTCAGACTGGGAGTAGCATTGAGACAGCTTGAATCAAAAGAAGAACTGTGGCAACAACGTCCCCATTGTGCTCAGAACAATTGACCTACCAGGAGAAGTCGAGCTGTTTAATGTAATATGTTGACTTTTTTCTCTTCGCTATGCCTCGTGTGAAGTGACTTAATACAGAAGAAAGCATTAATTTCGAAAGCATCCGTGAAGTTTTGCCCAGTACACTTTATATAACTCTTGTTCCTCAGGATTATTGTGTACATGGTACGGGTGGATGAGAGTTCACGTGTTGTCTGGGTTAAAAAGTGGCTATAAATTTATTGCAAATGGTTGAAAGATCTTGGAAACTGCCGCAGCTTCCACTCATTCCTCTACAAAATGAAGCTCTTGATAAGAAACCTTTAGGCAGTCATATACACAAATATTTCTATATTATTATATATTACATTAGACTTGCAGCTAGCTTGAAGTAGCTACAGTTCTACAGTCCAGAAAACAAATCAACAAGCTCGTTGAGTAAAAGAATTTAGTAGAAAAGGAAGAAGTTTCCATTCAAAACTCAGCAATCATTTCTCTGGTCCAAAGAAGATTCTTTTGAGTGTTTTTCCTCTTTTGTTGTGCACTCTGTGATAAAAGACAGTATTCAAGATTCAAGAAAAGTATACATGTGAGAGGGCAAAGACAACACACTCTCAAACCACCTTTTGGCAAACTGCTCTTTTACTTTCTCCGCCTCCTTTCACAGGCTTCCCTAACAACGGTTATTGAGCAAACCACAGCGTCTTGTACAACCGACATGAGAACGTGTGATGTGAAGGGAGGTTTACACCACAACCAGAGAAAAGGGAACATCACTCATATGTCACAACGGTCACTTTCCCGCGTTTTGCTTCGTCACAGCGAACCATTTTTATCATTAACGGCTAGGTTCCCTAAGTCCGTGTTCTCTTTGTGCCATTTGTCATGTCGGGCGTAGCAGGTGTGCTTCTCCTGTTTCCTATTTTTAAAGATTTAGTTCGACACAGTATCACGTAATTGGCTTCGTTTTGCTTTACTTTGCCTGGGTGTCAAACGAACAGTAAATCTCTCCGGGTCCTGTCTCTGTGATGGAGGAAATGGGACGGCCATACCAGACCTATTAGCGAGGTTGTGTGTGTACTGGGGGATTCTCTCTCCGGTTGTTTTCGCGGGCTCTCATTGTTCAGGAGCAGCGCGATTTCACGGTTAGCTCATTAATCATCCCACTCGCAGCATTCATAACTGTCTGGTACTGCACTATTGGACACTGGTAAGAGTTGGCAGCGATGCCAGCTGAAGCCCGCCTGACCCGCTGGTGTCACACATCGGGAGACGAGTGCAGCGAATGCTCATGACTTTTCAAGGTGGGCTGACTCTGATCAGCGGGTCAACGATTTTCTTTCCACCTGATGGCATGTGTAGGGTCATTCATTAGCAAAAGTTTGAACTGTCAGCACTATTATTTTTACTAAATAAATTTTCTCCACAATATTGTTTTTTTTGTCGCCCTGTACTTGCCTTTGGCCCTGCATAAGCTTTTAGGACCATCGCTTTACAGCTGCCCATCCATCTTCTTACTTAAATTATTGTAATGAGCAGAAATCACAGATGTGGACTCCTATAAGAACTTGAATAAAGCTTACAGGACGTTTTTTTCCTTGTCTTTTCAGAACAAATCAAAGTGTCTGTTAATGACTTCATCATCAAGGCAGCTGCTGTCACACTTAAAGTAAGTATTGACCAGAATCCCTTCATTTTTTGTTGTAATTCTTTCCTTTAATTTTTGTAATTTTTTAGGCTAATTTTTGTTTGTTCATCCCCTAACCCTCTGTACTTTTATAATTTCATGTTTAATTTACTGTTTGCCTACAGGTATCTGACATTTTAGTGCTAAACAAAACAAAACTTGGACGTTGCAAATTGTAAATACCTTCTTTGAAAGCGGTAAAGACATCGATAAAAGGAATTTAAAATAAAATCTGTAAGCACACATACAGTTGTTAGATTTAAGGAATGCATTGAAGCCATTTGAGGTTAAAAGTAGACGCTGTCCTCTGGTAATTCAGTTATTCCAGCCAAGGATGTCTCAGCACCATGTCATAAGAACATCATTTTATATCACTTATTAAGAAAATATTATTTCTGCTTCAATAAATATGTGCCGGCCTTTAGCATTCCCATGTATCAAAGCTCAAAATTCACCGTACAGACGGCAGGAAGACGCGCATGAAAGCCTGGTGTGTGAGGGCGAAGCATCGGCTGAGAAACCTGGCCGGTTGGTTCACGCGTTACAGCGAATGTCAGGAATGTGGAACGTACATGTACATTTCTCACTTAATGCGAGTATAAAATGCCGGTTCTCCCATAGTCCAGACATTATGCTGTACTGTTAATACAACATGACCAAAATACCTCCGTGGATCGACTCTTGCGGCGGACTAAAATGGGAATTCACTTGTGTAACAGCGTAGCATCAGAGATTTGGCAGAAGTGCTGTACTCTTCCCCCGAGCTGACCTAAATACACCAGGAAGTGGTCATTTTAATGTCACCTTAAATGCATGTGTACCACTGTGCTGTTTATGGGTAGATGTCCTTTTTTTATTTGTGGTGTTATGTAATTCAGTAAAGCTGCTTTGCTGTGGAGAAACTAGTATTTTGTTATCGAGGATCCACCACAGCAGAGATCATAGTCATTAGAAATCCCAGGTAGTCAGCGACCAAACTGATTAGTAAGTTTTCCATATTTGCTGAAGCATAATGTTGTTTTTTTCTAATATCATAATTGATTTCTGTGTCTTTAGTTTTTCTACACTCGTGACTGAACAACATCAAACTGAATAAAAGTATCATGTAACCAAATTTGAGAGACTTATGATGTGTCGTACTTTCGGCTTCTCTCTCTTTTTTTCTGTTATTTATCATCGTTAAAGTCAGACAGGACCTGGGATAACCTCTGATGTGTTTGTTTTGTTTTTTGTTTTTTTTTTAATCCTAGGAAATGCCAGAAGTGAACGTGACCTGGTCTGGTGACGGACCCCGTGCGCTGGATTCAGTCCACATCTCAATTGCTGTGGCGACGGACAGAGGCCTTATTACTCCGATCATCAAGGACGCCGCAAACAAAGGAGTCCAGGAGATCTCGGCCAATGCTAAGGTAAAGGTCACAGGGATAAAGAGGACTTAGAGGCAGGAAAACATTTTAAAATAGCCTTATAATAAGCCTTTTTGCTAGAGTCTCTTGAAGCTCTCTTGCAAGGACTGTTTTCTCTGAACGTCTTTGGTGATGGTGGATTCTACATGTCGAGCTGCGGGGGTGTTCCGTGTTTCACTTCAGGTGAAGACACGGAGATTTCTGGTGATTTGTACACGGGAATAGATACGAGAGATGAGACTTGACTGCCGTCCAACTGTATGAGAAAACAACCTCTGTGGGCATCTGTCGAGCTGTGGTTGAATTTTATTTTATTTAAAGTAGTCTTCTTTTAGAAATAGTGCTTCTGTCAACTGTACAGGTTTGTGAATTTGGGATTTAAGCCGTCACCGGTCACAGATGGCACACAAAGCAACGAAGGTCAGCTCTTTCTCCCGCTCATAGTCAACAGCTGGGGACCATCGTTTATTTGCAAGTGTGCTCACCAAATCTGATGCGCATGTACAGATACTCACTCGATAATAGGATACTCTCGTCGTCATTTCACGGAAGCGCACAGAGATCAAATAGATTAGCTTCCTCGAGATGAAGTTAATCGACATAATCTCTTGTCCCTAAATGTTCAGGGTCTGTTTGTGGCTGCCATGTTTCCCAAAGATGCTTCACCAGCTGTGAGTCACAAAACACAGAGGCTTGACTTTTGCCCTGAACATAGACCAGCATTGTCAGACTGGTAGAATGCCTTTTAACCTAATCACACGTGGCTAACATCACATTTCAGTGTTAGCAGCGGTAATAGTAGCAATGAGGTAGCTGCTGACGCCGTAATCGTATTTGCAGCGACAGACTGAACATACGTGTGGTAGCTTTGAGGGAATACACCCAGCACGCCTGAGAGTCTCGGTGAGAGTAGTCGATGGGCGATTTGGAAGGATTGAAAGAGTGGGTGTGTAATTAGGTTTTAGACATGTTATTACTCAGATTCCAGTGTTTATGTCTAAACTGTAACAGCTTAAATCCGTGCGATCAGTTCTTGCGATAGATGCGATTGCTCCAGCCCCAGTGTTGTCTGGGAAGACGCCTCGGCAGATGCTGCTGCAAGCGTTAGCAAAGCTAGCTAAATGACGCCTCGACGCCGATGGAAACGACGCGTCGCGTCAACAAGTGATTGTTTAGGGGCTTAAAACGTTATTCAGATAGATGCAGGTGAAGTCATGCAGAATAATCATGATGTTTTGATGGAAGTCTCTCACTCAGGAACCTTTGTGTCGTCCCTGGTGCTCTCACTGCAGCCACTTTTTTGTTCTGTTGTGGTGTCTCTCTGCCTTTAGTCTGGTCTTCAGCAAGTGAAATGCAACTCAGTTAGATTGACACGGCCACAGTATATTCCACCCCTTCACCCTGGAAAGCTCTTTAATCGCTTCAGCTGCAGGTTTAGGATCGTTGTCCTTCCCAAATGACGAACTGTCACCCGATGTGTTTTGACGGATTTGAATGAATCTGAGCACACACAAAGCTCCGTAATACTCCCGTATTGATCCTGTTGCTTCTGTCGGTAATGAAATCTTCAGTAAATGCCGGCGCGTCAGCTCCGTTGGCAGCTGTTCATGCCTACGCCCAAACAAAACCACGTCTGACAAATGCAGCAGTATGCTTTGGGTCATGTGCTCTACCTTCTTTTTTTTTTTTTCCCTCCCCGCTCCACCCTTTCTTCTTTGTCATCATTTTGAAACAGTTTTCCGGAGAACTGAAATTCTCGTGGTTACAGTCTTCTTTTAACAGCAGTTTGGCCACGACTGTGACCTGCAGTGGAAAAGATGCTATGATGCTTTTTAGTTCGGGTCATTTTCATCCATTTGTTTTGATTTCTTCAGTTCAAATAAAGCGAGATCCGTTAGTGCTTTAGATAGCGAATCATTACAGCTGCTACAAAAGCATAGACACCAACAACGTGGACACATCACTCCTCGCAGGCTTTCCAAACGTTCTTCGCCACCCGCTGATATTCAGTCTGTTTGTGCCGCTGCCTTGAGTTAAATCTACATTTGCCCGTCTTTATTGGCCTCAAATTAAAATCAACATGTGGTTAGAATGAAGCTCGGAGAGGTCGCTGCTGGCTATTGATGTGATGGAGTGGAACATGACTGTTTTTGCACTAAGAGCTCTTATCTCGAATGTGCCCACCATGTCCCGCTGCGTCTCATGATCCTGTGAGTCATTCTCGACTCTCCGTGTTGGTTGTGTCCCCGCATTAACCTTTGAGCGCATTTCCATTACAATAAAGTTCATGTTGTTAAAAAAAAGAACAGACATGGTGGCAAGCGGTTTGAGCCTAGAGAGAGCGAGAAGTTTACATTTTCAGCACGAGCCTTTTTGCATCCGTGTGTTTGGTATATTGTGGAGCCTTTATTTCAGAAAGTAAAGACGTTGATCTTTGATAATACCGCGTATTCGAGTCACACGAGTGAAGGTTGAGTGAACCAGCTGCTTTACAGTAGAAACAACACCATCATCACGCTTTGTTCCTGTCTGACAGCCGCATTGTGTTTCCTCCAAGCTTGTCACTCCGGTTGACGCCACGATAGAACGAGGATCCACGAAACCTGACTGAAGTAATGTGTTTTTCTCACCCAGATGTCTCATCCTTCCCTTCGGGGTGTTGTCAATTCCCTTTTTTCATTTTAGCAATGCACACTCTGATAGTTCCCATTCGTATCGACGCTCGCTGCTGAACGTTTAATCATTTTCTTGAACATGATATCTGAAAATTGATCCCTGTAGCCTTTCACCAGAAGGTCTCAAAGGTGGAGGAAGGAAAAAAAAAAAAAAAAAAACTGCGCCTGAAAAGCTTTTAACTTTTCATGAATTGCTCCGCGTTAAAAGTTTGTCCAAAATATAAGCCTGTTGTGTTTCTCAAGAACTATCTGATGGATATCCACGCCCCGCCCCGAATGAATTATTTTGTTATCAGAAGTGTTAGCATTCAGCTAAAAGCCCCAATGTGCCGAAGAGGTGGGCCGTTCGATACCGAATAATCGATCCAACATTTTCAGCGGAGGTTTCAATCTAAACTCAGGCTAAATGTGTATTTTATCATCGGCGTGGGATACGGTTGGAAATGAATACGCTATTTAGTCGAAAAAGTATCCGACTGAGAGGAGCTACTGAACCCGTGAAGGCGGTTTGAAGAGGACAAGAAAGGTGCTGACAGGGCAGCAGGAAACACAGAGAGGGAGAGCGTACAGTCGTCCTCAAATCTATTCATAACCTCCCATTAAAGAAAAGGCAAAATTTACAATCCTCACTGAAATAACTAGAAACTGAAAAAAGTAATAATAAATAAAAATTTGCTAAATTATAACTTAGTGAAATATGATATTGCTTTGGAACTGTGGTTGAAAAGAATAATTAAAAAATAAATAAATAAAAAATACTGTCCTGGACAAATTGGAGCAGTGTGCTGATGAGCAGTGGGCCAAAAGGGCTGTTCAACAAAATATTAGTTTATGGATCCAATCATGCTTGTTTGCTTGTTGTTGTTTTATGTTTCTGTTGAACCACAATTCAAAAGCAATGCCATGATTTTATTTATTTATTTATTTATTTATTTTTTAATTCTTATTACTTTTGTCAATTTCAGCTTATGTCAGCTGTTTTTTTTTCCTTCTTTAAAGGGAGAGTATGAATGAATCTGACTGTGGTCACGGGAAAAGTGATTCACAGCCGTCATGACTTCACTTTCTTTTTTTAAATTACTGAATTCAATTTTTCCTCTTTAATCTATAAATATGCCAGATAAATGAATAGCTGTAGTTAGTAATGTAAGTAATGAAGTATAAAGATCAGGACTGCAACTTCTGAGTTCAGCTTGGAGTGAGATTTGTGTCCCTGGGCTCGTCTAATATCAGTTCCATGAAATATTTCTCACTTGTGTTATTATTTTAAAAGCCTGTGACGGTGAAATGACACTTTTATTGCCAATAGTCTGTCTGCTTTAATGACACTTGCGTATTCATGTGAAAGGATTTACTCCGTCTCATTTGTTCTGACTGACAGCTGATAGATTATTGACTCTATTGTATATTTATTACGGCATCTATTTATTTAATTTGAATTTGAATACGACATCTATGAAAGAGCAAGACGATGCAACCTGTTGCATTCTCTCCTTTTCTACGGTAGCTTGTGCATTTGAATACATACAGCTTGAACTAAAAAGGAATTATCAGTGCGGTGTTGTTGCGTCACTTTTCCCAAGAACACTCACAAGATGGTTGGGAAATGAAACAGGTGGAGCCGACTTCTCGTTTCTATGTCCCGAACGCATTAAACTTTTGTAAACAGGAAGTGTCAGTTTCGGTATGATATCACGGTTACCAGCCCGGGTTTTGGTAAATGGTCTGCACTTATATAGCGCTTTTATCTGGGGTGCTTTACATTGTGTTTCTCATTCACCCATTCACACACACATTCATACACCAATGACGACAGAGCCATTGGGAGCAGGTTCAGTGTCTTACCCAAGGACGCTTCGACTGTGGAGGGGCGGGGGATCGAACCACCAGCCTTGTGATTGGAGGACAGCCCACTCTACCACCTGAGCCACAGCTACTTTGGAAATAAATGGTATCAGATATGAGCACCAAGCACAGCCTCACAGTACAGCTGAAGACTCTTAGTCCTAATGTAGGTCACTGTTGGCAGCATTTTACTTCTTGGTTGGTTTGTTGAAAGCAAATACAAACCACAATGCTTTCCTGATAAGGTCCACTGTGGGAAATCAGGAACTCTGGTGTGCGTCTCATACGTACGTCAACTTGTTTGGACATTGGCTCGTATCAGTCCTGGCTATTAGCGTAACACGTCACTGCGTGTATTTGTTTATGACCGTATGAATCTTTGACCTTTTCTTCCCTGAAACAAGGCTTAATTGTGACATGTAATGTTTTTTTAGGCGCTGGCCCAGAAGGCTCGAGACGGGAAACTTCTGCCAGAGGAGTATCAGGGAGGCTCATTCAGGTAAGACGTCTTACATCATTTCACGGGTAAAGAAAAATACTTCATTCTTCCTCGTTTCTTTTTTTTTTTCTCTCAATTCAATAAACAGTTTTTTTCTTTCTTTTGTGTGTGTGTGTGTGGGAACAATGGCCTTTTCACATCTAATTCTAATTCTGTCTAACAATTTCCTTTACAACTCAGTAATGAGATAGCCATCATAAATTTCCGCTATCATGACTGAAATCCGGTTTCACAGATAGTCACTATATTATGCATATTCTACATTTCGTGCGGGGCCCGAAACTGAATGTGGTCTTGGGCGACAGGGACTATCAGTTACTGTGCCATCAATTGCAGAAACATGGAAGGGGAGGCTTTTTTAACTCATTAGAATTAATGGTGTCATTTAGGCGTAAATGGGGTTTCTGTGTCAGGCAGGAGCAATGAATTCCTATGGAGATGCGGCCGTCTTTGTCCTCCTGAGGATATATGTGTATATTCTTCTCCTGCTCGTTTTTTTTTTTTTTTTTATAAATCCCCCTGAGCTAGAACTCTCATTAAGGCAAACAACAGACCGCCCCCGGGGTCATTCTTACTTACCATACACAACGTTTAGGGGGAGTTTTTGAGCCCGGTGCTGCTGTATTAATCTTTATCGCTCGGTGTTGTATTTTATAAAATCAGACGTTCACAGACGATCAGATTTAAAGACTTAATTCACCCTCTCATTTTCTGAAGAGCAGTAATGTTCTTTAAGCATCACAGAGTTGGTTTTAGAGCCGACATTATGTCTGCTTAGTTAATTTTTATGCATTTTCTCCCCTGTTGAGCTTGACTAATGGTGTAATATGTGTGCTGTCTCTTCTCTCTTCTCACCCCATTTTTTTTTTTTTCCCACCTCCCTCCTACGTTTCTCCCCGTCGGCAGTATATCTAACCTCGGGATGTTCGGAATCAGCGGCTTCAGCGCCGTCATCAACCCTCCTCAGGCTTGCATCCTGGCCGTCGGGACCTCCAGGGCCGAGCTGCGACTGTGCGAGGAGGACCAGACCCTGCGCACTCAGCAGCTGATGACGGTTACGTTGTCCAGCGATGGACGGCTAGTGGATGACGAATTAGCCTCGCGGTTTCTTGATAAACTCCGTGCCAACCTAGAACAGCCGCAGCGCATGGCCCTGGCCTGAGAGACCGAGGTTTGATCCATGAGAGTGATCCGAATGATAAAGCAACAAACGCCCACATGACAAAGCCTGGGTCGCGAGAATGAGCCCTTAAATAGCTTATTACCATTCATGCCTAGATTAAGGCTTGCAAACTAGCGTTGTACATAATGTAAAGTTAAATTTATGGCGTGCTTCTGACAGATCATCACCAGGCTTTGTGATGGAGGAGCGAAAAAGGACTTCTGTCAGAGCAGTGGAGGATTCTAGCAGTGGTGCCAAATATCACCGAGATAGAAGTAACAAAGTGTGCCCCGTATACTGTAAACTGGGTGGTTGCTTTACCACACTAGTGTTGTGTGTGTGTATATATATAAAAAGTCCTTAATCCAGTTTAAGTTGACTATTTGTCACTCCCAGTAGGTCACACATGCAAATTGTACGATACAACTCCCATGTACATTTGTCAAAGATATTTATTCCCTGAACATGAGCGGCAATTCAGTTTTCAATGAATCAAGTTTTGTTGTAAGAATCTCGCTCATTAATGATTAATTGTTCATGTTAATATGTTTTAACTTATTTAAAATGGACATCACCGAGCATAAGTCCTTCAGTTCCATCTGTATTCAACATAAACTTAGCATTTGGTGTCTTGAGATGCCAATAAAACCCACTGCTCAACCTTCTCATCTTGGTGTGCCTCATTAAAACGTGTTTTCCCCCAATTTTCTTGACACAGCTTCCAGGGAGCCCACCGAGGTGCGAGTGTCTGTTTATGTTTAATTAGAGTCTAAAGAGATTATGTAATAATTATCTCACAGAAGCCAATTAGGATGATTTGCTGGAATGAGTGGACAGGTCAGACTCTGCTGGCAGATGTTTATCTTTGCTGTAAGCGCGGGCAGAGCAGCTGTTTACATATGCGTGCGCACCAGTCAGGTAGAGTTTATCCTAGTTACGCAAAGGCAGAGTCTGATATTGTCTCTGAGAAATCACGGAAGAAGGCACGGAAGCGGGGAAAGGCTGCGATTTCAGACTTTCTTTCGTCTCAAACTTGATTTAACACACTACATATTGCTGCAAGGGCCACTTCTAAAATGAGAGTATGGGAGCAGGAACAGTAATGCAGTTTGACAAGGCAAAAAGCCCACTCTTAGGATACTTCGTGGCTGAATTTATGGCCCTTCTTCTTCGTGCAGCATTAACCAATTTACAAATTGGGTTTTCCACATTTGAATTCAGAAAACAAATCACCCGAGGTGAGCTGTGGATTATGCAGGTATCAGTGGAACAGAGGTACGAGAACCACATTCATTTTTAATGCGATCATGGCCAGGGCAATAGAGAAAAATACTCCCCATCATTTGTATAACTGCCTCTTTTTTTTTCCCCTACCGTCGTGCTTTTGCTGCAACCCTTCCTGCACTTAACAACCACTTTTTAAGTGACTGTGGAGGGAGGACATTTTGTTCTATGGTTGCTGTGGTATCAGATTGAGATTCAGCTGTGAGGAGTGAGACATAGACACAAGCGAGGGTACATAGAGATGGGGGAGGTGGGGGGTGGTACAGGCTATTGGCACAGCCCAGCTGTTTTCTACAGTATGCCCACTGTTCTGTTAGCCATTTGCAGACACACATACACCTTCCCCAGCGCCGGTTACCAAGGCGATAGAAGGTACACTCAAATAAAAAGTGAGGGGAGGACAAAAACGGTGGCCTTTAACATTTCAGCTCGAGGCATAATCACAACACAACACGTGCATAAAAACTTGCTGACGCGCACAAGCAAAATTCTGTCATTATCGTTTGAGATGAGCGTCAGATATCACTGTAAACACTGCTTTTGTAATCACTTCTTCTATTCCGTTTTATTGTAGAAAGTTAGTCACATTTGGCTTATTAACACATTATAGGCCCTATTCCGTCGTCTCTTCTCAACCTCAGTCGAACTAATCCCTTCCTTCATCTCCAGCTATCTCCTCTTCATTGAATATAAATGTGTTATTGCTCCGTGAGCCATGCGCATAATCCCGCCGCTGCGTTGTATGGGTATTTATCCCCGTACACAACTTTACCATCTGCTGGGAAGAGATAGAGCGTCTTCAATCTGAGATCAAGTCACAACTGCTTGAGAAGGTGAAACCAGTGAGAGACCTGCCATCAAAGCATATAAAAAAAATACACAGTAAAATGGCAGGAAGTGAGTACAAATGGGCGTGTATGCAGAAGATATTAGGTATTTTGTGGTTGGGGTTTACGTCATAAATTTCCGATCTGCTTCACCACAAAAATAATTAAATAAACCAACCAGCAGCAGACAGGCAACTGTTACGAACATGCTCAGAGCGAGTGATAAGTGTTGTTCACTTGTCTCATGTTCTTGCACTACCATAATCTTAGTTTGATGTTTGTGTTGGGACAAAGCCCCCCTTGTGTTGCTGGTATGCAGGATCCTTTAGGCCTAGCAATGACGTAGACAGTTCTTGTCAAAGCAATGTAAGTGTTTCTGTTTGACTTTGCTGGTGCGACGCTAAAAAACAAGATGGTGATTCCTTCCTTCTTGCTGCAGCGCATTCTGCTCTCAAGTTTGACAACATGCTGGAGCTGCTAAGTCGAGCAGTTGAACAATGCCTCTCCGAGCATCGGCTCTGTAAATGCAGCAAAACAGATTGTGACATTTTCTTTGGTTTTCCTGTCACAGTCTGACATTTTACTCCTCTGATGGCCACCCGCCAGTCTCCGCCCGGCTATCTTGTTATATGTAACAGCTGGATAAGAGAGCCGCCTGGCAGACAGCATCAGACTTTCTCCCGCCAAGGTTTTGATGAACAGTGCGCGGGGTCTTGAAGATAATGCGGGGGCTCGGGCGGAGCGTGTAGGTCAGACTTATGGACAAACAGCGTGGTGCAGAGTGATGGAGGCAGTTGCCATGGCGACCGAAGAGGACGAGCGTGTTACCGCTGTTGTGCTGATACTTGGATGTCCTTCAGATACACAGTCTCATGAATGTTTTGGTCCAAATAGCAGAAGTGGCACAAATAACTGAAATTCCACGTCTCAGGGTGTTCGGCTGCATGTCCAATAAGGGACCGAGAACTCCACTTGATTGTCAAAAGAGAAAAAAAGAGAAAAACCCACAGGATGGCCATGTGGTGCAGTCTCCCAGTCCGCACCCCACCCTTTCCCCAATCCACTATCCATCCCCTCCCAGCGCTCCTGGCCTATATCAAAGCTTTGAACTACTTATGTATTAACAGTCCTGAGGCTTCCAAATGAGGTAGAATGAAATCAAATGGATTTTTAATGGATTTCTATCTTCTCCAGGAAGGCAGCATTTTTGAGGGATAAAATAAGGACCAATATGAATCATGTGCCCACTAATAAAAGTAACCTGATGGTAATATAATTTGGTAATGAACTATTTTAGTCCCTACTTTTTCCTGCCCTCTCTGCCACAGACAGGGACACATACTGTACAGTATTTCCCTGTGTGAACAGCCTTTGTGAATGATCACCAGGGTTGGTGAGAGGCTTGCTCTCGTCCACATTATCTCACGCTCAAGTTTGTTCAACCATTGTTGACAGGATTTCCTCTGGTCTCCCCTTTTTCCCTGACTACCAGCACTTCTCTATTCAGTCATCTTTTAGCTGGAATGCATACTTTGCTCGCAAAGCCTGCTGCAAAGTTGCTACCATATGCTCCTACTTCCTTCTTCTGTGCGAGTTACGCTACTTTTAGACCTTGATGTCATTTCTTTGAAACGCTTCCTTCACTGTTCAACTTAAAGCATCCTGTTGCAGTCTACAGAAAGGATGCACATGTTGACTTCCCTGAAACCAAACAGGCATCAGTGAACATTTTACCTGTAAATTACTGATGCCAATCACCATGCAAACCGAGAGTACGGATGACGCAGGGCATTCCATTTGGCTATACAGTACCGCCGTGACACTGGCTAACCAAACATGTGCTCTCTGCCGTCCCAGCACCCAAACAGAAGTGAGGCCCTTGCTTTGTTGTTGTTGCAAAGCCCGGCCTTTTGAAGCAGTCCAGTCATGCTCCCATGACGCTGGGATTGCTCATTCAGCTCGAGACACTGCAGGGTGAGGCAGCGCTCAGCCAAAGATACACAACAGGGGACACAGTCTTAACAAACTCTCACCTCTTCACAGACCTCCAACCCAGTCAGTAGCGTGGATATACAGAATTACCTCAAGTTTAGTCATCAAGATCACTTGGCAGATAAAGACAGATGTGCCACATATATATCACAGGAGTTCATGTGGTGTTTTTCTGGTGGATTGGCTCAAAACACAAACCTGCTATCTTTAACCAAATGATATTTGACACTGTTAAATGAGCAAAACACACACAGGGAAACTAAAATAACTACAATTTTATTCAACAAAGTTTAACAGATATAACAAAAAGTCAGAGAAGTATTAAAAGGAAATAAAAAAAACTCTGTCAGGTTCCTTCGTGGTTGTTGACTTCACCCCTAAAACACTGGCTTTGTTGTACCGTTACACCTTTAGTCCTTCTAGAATATGCAGATCTATGACTGCTCAGACTCTGTATATCTACTTACTTCAGCCAAATCTGAAGATAACTAATGATAGGAGAAGCCTCAGCGTGCTGCATGTTGACAGGATTGGTTCCTTTGGTTTGTTACGTACGAAACCCCAAACGTCTGAATCCGTGTTTTTGAGGCCGTCATCCCTGCACTGTGGTTTCAAGGTGCAAATGCTCAGCTTGGGATATATCTTCTGGCATAGAAAAAAAAAAAGACCACATGGGCATGCTAACGAGTTTAAAACCTTTTATCGGAGGCGATCTCACAATAAGCTACACAGGAAATCAAAACTCCAACACACAAGCATAAAGTGGTGCCAGGAAACGGGGAGCTTCCAGATTACCGGGACGAGGCGGTTCTTCTCGAAACCGGAGACAGTCGCGGCCTGCCTCTCGTTTTTGATCAACCAGGTAGCCTACGACACTGAAGAGAAAGTACACACCCAACAAAACCAACACAGCACAGACGAGGCCTGGAAGAGAAACTGGGGTAATCGCCATTTTTTGCATGTTTAGACCATTAAGGATGTATTTAATTTCCGTGGTGTGTATGGATATGACTGGAATGGCACATCAACGGTTAAAGATGACCCCCCAGCCCACGCTAAGGGTGGGTGGCGCTGGTGGTGCTGATGGGCCTAATATGGAAAATTTAGTCCACAGTTCCTCACGGCTGGCCTGGAATATGGACATCTTGCAATCTCTTCGACTCACATTCCAGTGACGGCGCTGGTCGGAGGGAAAAGCGCACGTTGCCTAACAGGAATGCTGAGGAGCTGCCATTAGTCAGCCATTACCACAAGGATTCCCAGCCACAAGGAAGTCTGATGAGAGTGCATGCGTGTGTTCTCGCAGAGCAACCATCATGGAAACGTCTCTTTTTCTGTTTTTTTTTTTTTTTTTTTTTCTTGTCCTTTTGTTGGATGCGAATTGGCTGACTCAGCAGTCTGATGTTTAATTTAGGGTTCAGTCATGTAGAGTATACAGACGTTCACCTCTCTTTTTTTTCTCTCTCTCTCTTTTTCTGCGCTGCTGTAACGTCATTCACCAAAAATGGCCAGTTAAGAACCCTGGAGCCTTGGTTAAACGGTTATTTTTCATGCCATCATTCAGCCTTGTGCGGTTACAAGTAGGCTTTATCCAGCTTTTCTTTTTTTTTTCTTACACCTTCTTTTAAAGCCACTTCACATATGAATGAGAAATTTGACCCACTTAGTCTTAAGGCTATTTTAATGTTCACGTAAGCTGTTAAACAAAATGAGTTCAACCTGGGTGAACAAGTTGATTTTACTTGTACAGACTGACAGTGATTGAGAGTTTTGTGCATTCCACTGTGATGGAGTGTTTGACCAAGTTAGTCTCTCTTTTTTTTTTTTTTTGCTTCGGTCTTGCCTATGTGAAACTGTGTGCATGTTCAGCTGTTTAAAAGGGAATTCATCATTCACGGCAAATGTTACACATTCACCCAACTATTCATTAAAGGAGAGGATCATCTATGCAGGTTTGTGTCAATGTTGTTTCTCGAGAGAGAGAAACTGGGACAGACATTGTTCTGAGAGGGAAACAGACTCAGGCTGGATAATCATTTGTCTTCAGAGGCTTTCAGGTTTTTTTCTTTCTCTCCTTTTTTTTTTTTTATCCTCTAACTCTCCCAATCCGTCTGTTTTATGGTTTTATTTTAAGTTCATTGCATTGAACCGTACATCATTTCAGATTTCAACCTGTTCATATGAGTCTTCATATCACAATAAATGCATTAATCACACATTCTGTACACAAGATAACACTTCAGTGTGGTTTCCCTGACGAAGATAAACAAGGTGAAAAACTATAGCCTTACATGGTTGTTTTTATGTGTCGTAAACGTGGCCGTTTGCTGGTAATGCTTTGTTTGCTGGTATTGCTATGGTGTCGCTATGGCAACAGCCAAAACAGGAAGTGACTTGTATCTGCAAAGTAGGAAGGGTGAGATATTTTCACGTCGTGCTGTGAAATCATTAAAGGGTTCAATTCGGTATTTAGGAGAGATTAGTTGAATTTACATGTAAAACCAAAAATGACGTCTGTAAAATGCGTTTTATTGTCGTCTAAAGATAACTGAAACCCTCAGGGGATCAGCAGTCAGATTCCTTCAGACTAAATTCAAACTTTCTCAAAATTAAATGATAATTAAACATAATTAATTAAGCCACTTGTGAAAATAACTTACATATGACTTAACTGAACCAGTGCTCCGTCCAAGCGATCCACTGGCAGCATGTTGTCCTTCAGCATTGTCTGGAAATTAACAATGCGCTTTGTTGTTGGTGTATTCTGTATTTTTAGACATGTTAGGGGCTCTTGGGATGCTAATGTCCGGTTGGTTGGTTGGTTGGTCAGGAGGCTTTGGTCCAACCAAAACATCTCAACAAGCATTAATGGTTCCCAAAGGAGGCACTTTAATGACACTGGTGATGTGATGAGTTTCCCCTTTAGCAACACAAAGAGGCCGACATCTGTGGTTTGAGTAAAATATCTTATATATATATGCAGTCTATGATCTCCGCTAACTATTGGAAATCATTTTAGTGATGACATTTTCATGCTATCACCAGATTAGTTTGGCAAGTACCTTAACTTATATCCATAGCGCTGCTAAACTAATTCCCACCAACCTAAACTGTTCTCATTAGCATGACAGTAGATTAAATAGTGGTGGTGAGCATAATAACCATTACACCTGCTTAATATCAGCATGCAAGAGTTGATGTTAGCCTACGATGGTGGTACGATGGTGCTTAAGTGCAGCTTCACATAACCTTTAGCATGGCCTTGTTCATTCACGCATCATGCACTTGACCTACGACGCATGTAAGAAGTTTCCGATGGAAAAGCATATCTGAAAGTGTCTGCAAGCTGCAAGTTCTCAGAGTCAAGATTTTCTCAGAAGAATATTCATTGAGGTGGTTTTGAAGACGCTGATGGAAATGGCACCAATTTGTTATCCCTTATCAGTGTGAAAGATAAGCCGTAACGCTGTCATGTCGTGGAATTAAACACTGATGGCAAATTAGTGTGGGTGAGCAGGGTCAGCGGGGCTATCAAGGAACGGAAATTGTGTAGTTTGATGATGCTGCACACATCGCTCTGCTGTCCAGGTGGCCCCCAACCTGTAGAAAAACTCAGCCCAATTACCTCAAATGTTCCAGTGCGACAAATCCTTACATAAAGTGCCGTGAGTTTCAACTGAAGGGCCAGGTCACTCGTTATTTGAGCGCTGTTCCCATGACTACAGACGTCCCGGCCACACTGAGCCATCAGACATTCCTTCTGGTTGATAGGGAAGTCATACGATTACAGATGAGCAGTCATGCTTTCGTATCACAGCTGTTTATTTCAGGTATTGCGCAATCGTGCAAACAGCACAAGATGCGCTGTCGCCGGGGAGATTCCAGAAACCCGACATGACTCCATCCATCATCTTTTGAAATGATATTTAAAACCTGGTTTTAAAAAAATAAAATAAAGAATGGATGGAGGTGGAAACTCGAGAGATGTTTGAGATGGCGTGGCGCATGCATCACTAGAGGGGTCCTTTTACTGTAACAGATATCAAGGACTGTAACTTTTGTCGTTTCTATGTGAAGCAAACTGAGGTTTAATTATGCAGCTTTGCCAGTAGTTGGTTTTGCATCCTGAATTTATGCACGCCGGCCAATTGGTGGTTGGAGGTAGGCGACAAAAAACAGATGTTAGACACCGAAATGCGTGCATCCTCTGGGAGTCCAAGTTTTGGATCTGTAACAACTTGAACACGAGGTACGTCTCTGTGACCCCCTTCCGGAGAGGATGACAGAGAACACGAGGGAGCAGAGACGAGAAAATCGGTTGAATTGACAATGGGAGTGAGGACCGAACAAAAGAACCAGATGGGCTCTCCGAAACTGTTGCTGCTGTCAGGGATGTGAAAAGAGGAAGCCTGGGGGGGTGGTGGTGGTGGCAGTGGAGGTGGAGGTGGGGGGGAGACGGGGTCGGACGCAAGGTAAGGGAGGATAATCAGCCGGACAGGAGAAGGAGAGATCACCTTTTTCTTATCCGTCACAAGCTGTGGAGGCAGGAAGAGAGAGAGAGGAGAGGAGAGAAGGAGGAGGGGGGGGCAAGAGAGAGAGAGAGAAAGTCTGTGCGAGGTGGGGCGGGAGGGGAGGTGGGGCAAGTGTGGGAGAGGCAGAAGGGTGTGTGTGATCACATGAACCACTCTTCCCCTTCTACGTGTGTGACACCAGCCTCTGTGTCTCTCGGGCAGAGAATAGAAAAGTTGGAGCAAAAAATCTGAGTCAGCTCCAGCAGCTACCAGACACTCAACAGCAACTCCCCGCCACAGTACCAGGCTTCTTCTTCTTCTTCTTCTCTCTACCTCTCTCTCTCTTTTATTTATTTTTTTTTAATACTGCTCTCTCACTCATTTACTCTCTTTCACACACACACACACACACACACACACACCACCCGTCACTCCTGGCAGAAGGGAAGACAGGACCACAGGAGAAACTGTTACACACCTTTACTGCTCAGCCAGCCATCTACCAGACGCTTTGCCCAGGATGTGGACTCTTCTCTTGGGGGTCATCTTTGGATTACTGGCCTTCTCCAGGTCGGAAGAACTTCAAGGTGAGGAGACTGTGGCTTTTTTCCCCCTCCCGGCTCTTTGTTTGGGGATTTTTTATTTTAGTATTATTATTATAATTCTGCCTAAATTGTGCCGGTCTGACTGGCCTTTGTTACCAGATTTCTAGACAGCGTTTTTCTTTTGCCTCCTCTTGAGCCCTGTTGACTATTTAAGTGAGCGCTCATGTAAAAGAGAAGCCGGTGAAAGAAAGAGGCTGTGCTCTGCTGCTGCTGCTGCTGCTGCTGCTGCTTGTAGAATGGATGAGTGGATGCCGGCAAGAGAGCGTGTGCTACACCAGCACAGACAGGCTTACGTCTGGCAGTCTGAGACTCCTGATAGACACAAAGGAAACAGGCGCTCACTCCTCTTGTCTCGTACACATGCTGGCAAAGTGAAGCTTATTTATAAGGCGTTTGGGATGATCGGTGTTGCTTTCACATGTTCTTTTAAAGTAGAAAAGCAGATTTTTTTTTTCCTCCCTTTTTTTTTTCTTTCATGCTGCCACGCTTAATGCTTTATTCTCTGACACAAAAGATGTTCGCTTTAGCTCTCTCTCTCTCTCTCTCCCCCCTCTTTTCCGTTAATGTCTCCTCGCTTCCCCTTTGTCTCTTTCTCACATGTGATTTTTTTTTTTTTTTTTTTGATTGGAATTGTGGCTCGGAGCGATACGTATCTCTGGAGGTGAAGTTGGTACTGAATCAGAGAGGTCTCAAGGTTTGTCTGGCTGTGTTTCCCTCAGGAGGAGCTGGTGGTGGGGTTTGTTCACAAAGACTCCCTCTGGCACTGCGCCAAAGAACAGTCAGCATCAAGCTATAAATTTGACCAGGATTTAAAGGCAAATAAGAGACAACCTAGACGGCTTATATGTGCGGTGCATGTGGGGAGAAGGAAGAGGGGTGGTGGTGGTGGTGGTGGTGGATCCACTTTCCCCCCTAGTGCTTCAACATGTGTTTGCCCCTTAAGGCTCCTTGAGTATGGAGGAGTTGTGAGCTTTGTGTGTGTGTTTGTTTGTGTATGCATCTCTGTGTCTGAGTAATTGGTGTCTAACAAATAAAGTGTCCTGCGGCGGTTGCGGCGCGTCCTGTCCAGACGCTGTCTTTGAACTTTGAACCTGTAGCTTCGTTTTTTGTTTTTTTTTGCCCGAAGCACATCATTAAGAGCAGGACTCGTGGACTTGTGGCCGAACCAGACTGCCATGTAAATGAGATTTATGGAAGGTTTTCACGATGCTGTCTCGCCTGCTCGCCATGTCTGAGGGAAGAAAAGAAAAAAAACTGGACATTTAAATGGTATCTCTGATGCAGCAGTGCCCTAAAGGCATTCAAAGTAGCTTTTTTTATTATTATTTTTCTTTTCCAAGCAGTTAATTGAATGAATTTCATCCATTTTAAGTCATTTGTAACTACATGAACCCTGGAAGGAATGCAGTTAAAAAAAATAAAAAGTGTTCCTGCATTTTAAATAATTAATTTGGTCACGAGACTCTACAGCATCCTTTGAAATTTTTTATCATTTGTAAGTTTCTCTGATCTATCACCAGTTCAGACAGCTGATCAGAATGAAGAGTTTCTATGTAGATGTTTAGATATTTGCTTCAACACATCCGACACTCTCGATAACTTTATCTGATCTGTGGACTTGTGCTCTTCTGGGTTTCCTGTGTGGATGGTAAGTTCAGATAGCAGCAGCAGTAGCAGACTGACCATATTTTTTGATTTCTGTTTCTACGGACAGGAGTAGTCTCTCTCTCTCTCTCTCATGTCCACACCACTCGAGCCATTCTGCCCACAGGACTTCTTGCAAATGCAGTCGCGTTTGCCTCCTTGGTTTAGCAACCCCTCCTTCATGCGCCCGTGTCATGTTTCAAGGTGAGGGGTGGTCAAAGGCCCCATGGACTGGGTCCTGACAAAGAGGGCTTGTGCCTGTATGGGCTGCGAGTACTTTCAGACACGTGTTTGCCTCCTCGACCAATGTACCCTCTGCTGCAAACCAGCCACCCTGAAGCAGAATGGCCCTGCACCAATATCTTGTATAAGCCCTCTCCTTTTCTTACTTTCTGTCCTTCGCCATGTGGCTTCAACACTGGTTGGAGTGATCTTAAATGGTGCAGGAGTCCAGTTACTCATGATCTTGTATGACGTTGAACCTGTAAATTCCTTTTTAAACCCTTTTGAGTTTTAACCTCTCCAGCTCGACTCCTCCCCGTCTGCTTCTCCTCCTAATATACACCGAAATCAAAACCAAACTCACTATCATCAGGCAAGAGAGGGGACTATCCTGGATGAATACTTTGATTTTAAGCACAAAGGAGCTGAAATTTTTCTTGTTGCAGTAAAAACTTAGCTTTCCCGTTCCAGTATTTTTAAAACCAGATGCCGTATTGGCAAAATATAATTAAAAAACAACATCACTGTTGCTTTTGAGTAATAGTTGGACATTTGCAGAAGTAACTGGCTGTCTTTCTGAGAATTATATGAGGAGGGAGATCGATATCAGTCTTATTTGTTAACAGTGGAGCTAAAGGGACGGCTGGTTAACTTCATCTTTATATATAGACTGTGTGACGGCACCGTCCAGTATGTTGGTTGGGCACATTGGCTGTCAATGCTTCCATCCATCCATCCGTTATCTATACATCGCTTAATCCTCACTCGGGTCGCCGGGGGGCTGGAGTCTATCCCAGCTGACTCAGGGTGAAGGCAGGTCACAGGGCTACACTTAGAGACAGACAACCAAGCACACTCACATTCACACCTACGGACAATTTAGAATCACCAATTAACCTCAACATGTTTCTGGACCTTGTGGGAGGAAGCTGGAGGGCGGTGGTACCTGCTTGGGCCTAGCACTCCCAGATGTTTTGGCTGCATATGCACCGTTTATGAACTTGTGTCACTGGCAGGAAGTAAAGACAAAGTATAAACATAAAATTTTCTAGGGATACACGGGCTTATGACTCCTCCATAGTGGGTTCGGTGTTGTCTTTGACTGCTGATAGCGACACTGGTGACCACATCCTCAGCCGTGGAATGGGGCTGACCGTTCTACCTAATCCTCTGCATAGGATGGTCCTCGAGCTGGTGCAGGGCGAGGCAGCTGTAGGTGTGCGTCCAGCGCTGCCTGTTGAGGGCGTCCAGTTTGTTTTGGGCAATGGTTCAGCTGGTAGTCAGGTCTGGACCCGTGTGCCGCCCTCCCCTGTTGCACACAGTCTGGCTGTATCAAAAATTGTGGTTGAGTATCTGAGTTGTCTTCAACCTGCGCACTTGTTGTTTCGCCGTGTCCACTTGAGTCGAATGATAGCGCCGGTAAGTCTCCACAAGTTTTCTCAGCCTGTGTGGCAACACTTCAATTCAATTCAGTTTTACTTGTATAGCGCATATTTACAACAACAAGTCATCTCATAGCGCTTCACAAAGGCAGAGACAGAAACACCCGCAACAGTGGGAAGGAACCGAAAACCCCCGCGGGGGAAAAAAAACCTCCAACAGAACCAGGCTCAGGGAGGGACGGCCATCTGCCTCGACCGGTTGGGTGGATGTAGGATGAATTATAAAATTTAGTTTACAGTTAAACAAGTTATACTTGAGTATATGAGTAAGGTCAAGCAGAAGAGTCAGGTTGACCGTGATGTCCCACCTTTGGCAGATTTTCTGCTGTCTGTGGCCCCGTTCATGCCAAGGTTTCTGCAATCATGGACTATGAACAGCCCATTGCAAAAACGAAACTGCAACGGTGCATGGGTCTAGTCAGATATTGCTATACTAGCAGCAAACTGGCAGTATGTCATAGTTACATTGCTGTTCTTTGATGCAAAAAACAAACAATTTGCAGCATTTAATTGCAGTTGACATTAGATGAGCTGATTAGTTTGTTTTTAAATTTTGGATAAAATAAGAATAGATCCTTCCTGTATGCATGCTAAGCCTTTAGCTCCAGTTCAGTTCGAAAGGTGCAAAGTAAAAGTCTTGCATGAAGAGTGACAACAAAGAGCAGATATTCAAGAAAATATCTGCACAGGGTTTGAAAGCTGCATTTATTTTCTTCTTTTTTTGCTGGAAAATGTGTCAGTCTGACAGGAGCGTTAACCGAAACAGCCAGTCAGACGGATTCAGAAGTGTTTTAAAGGGTGCCATTTCCACTTCACTCCTCTTTATTTTCATTTCTAAATGTGTTTGAAAGGAATCGTGGCGGTCAGGTTTCTTGTCACAGATCATCCGTTTGAGTTACCTGAAATCTTTCCTTTTTCTATTCGGTGGAGAAGTTTAAGGCGAAGGCAAAAGGGTGGGAAAGTACATCTGCTTGTTTAATCTGAAAAAAGAAAAAAAAGAAAAAACGCTTGCCTGCTTTCAGAAAGGAACACAGTGGGTGGAGGTGTTGGAAGACAGAACGCGAGAAAGGAAATAACACCTTAGAGAGCAAATCAGATAGCGAGAGTTTTTGCATGACCTTCAGGTAATACATGTGTGTGTGTGTGTGTGTGTGTGTGTGTGTTCGTGCACAAACATATTTCCACCATATCTCGTCTTTCACATGTCCCACTGGCCCGCCGGACCTTTGTTGTGACCAGCGGAGGAGAGACATGTCTGCTGACGGAGCTACTTCACTCAAGTGTGATAATGCAGGACACTGGTGCATTGTGGGAGTTGTGGCAGCGAGGTCTCTCTCTCGGAGCCAGCTGATGAACTATGGCTAAAAAGGTGTTACGGTAGCAGTGTGACAGAAACAAGCGACTCGTCTGTTGAAGCGTGACAGAACTTGAGAGGGAACATTTTCACTAAAGTGCGTCTGAGAAAGACAAGAGAAAATGTAGATAAGGGGATAAAAATAAGCCGTGAGCCGTGTGTGTGTGTGTGTGTGTGTTATTAATCGTAACATCAGGATGCTGCATCTCGCTGTGCTCGCTGGAGACATTATCAGTGCGATCTTTAGGCGCGCATGTGCATCTGTGATCGTCTGTTTGCGCACCTGTACGCGGGGGGTAAATTGTACTTTATTACTGGCATAGAAAAGACAAACAGAGAGTAATGAGAGAAAACAAGACAAAATGAGAAAGAGAGAGGAAAAAAAAAAGGGGGGGAGGAAAAAGAAAGTGAAGCCAGAGTGGAGAGTCAGGCTTGTCAATTACTTCTGGAGCAGCTGGAGGTTTTGGCAAGACGCTGTGTTACGGCTCCTTTTCTCTCGGGCTCCGTACACCCAGACATTGCAGTCTCCTTGGTTTCAACTCCATTAGGTGACAATGGAGCCTTTGGGAGAGTCAGCGCTTTGGCATAACGGGCTTCTGGACTGTATAAAGACACCCATGACTGTTCCCTCTGCATACTAATGATCACTCCTCAGATTCATGTCAGCCTCCTTTTCAGCTCGCTGATGGTAAGCTGTGCTCCCTTTGATCTCTCTGGGCAGGTTTGCAAGGCCAGGACTGTTGTCTATTTTTTTTGCCCCTACGCTGTGAAGGACACAGTCCCATGTGGCAGCATGTGTTGAGGTTCTTGCAGGTGTGTGTGAGAGAGAGCAAGAGAGAGGAACGGAGAGAGGAGGGGGTGAAACAGAGACAAGCAATGAAATGAAACTGCTTTGCAATACAAGTGTTGGCTCTGGCTCTCGTTGCCTAACTGCCACTAACAGCAGAATGCTCAACTTCCTGCTGTTTCTAGTGCTCTGTTTACTCATAACAGCCAGTGGAAAAGTGGGTGGGCTTCTTCTTTTTTTTTTTGTAATATCTCATTTTTTAGAAGTCAGCTTTGTCCAACACAAGGAGATAAACAAAACTGCTTTCACTTAGAAGGTGGGGTGTATGCAATTTGCATTTAATTATAAAGAAAAATTCAACACAAATCCTGTGTTTCCTCATCTCAGTTGTTCATTTTGTACCTACATGCTGCAATACAGGAGTCAAGTTCAGGATGCAAACATAGAAGTCCGTGCAGTTGGTTGCTTCTCCTTTCCTTTTCCTGTCCGACTAGCCAAACATACCAACTGTTACTCGATACCAAAGCAAAAAAAATTCCCAGAGCGCTCCTTTCACTTCTGTCAAATGTGGTACCCATGTCAAGACAAATAAATGTATCCGATTACATCACAGTGTGAAGGCTCCTAATTAGTGCAAATTTGTGAAGGAACCTGTTTTGCAGGTTTTCAGTGGCAGTGCAAAGTTCTTTATTTGAAACTAGTAAGTAAAGAGTATTCTAAACATTACTGGCTTTAGTTATGACATGTTTGACATGTTTGACCTCCAGTCTTTGTACGAGCTGTAGCTGAAGGTTGGCTGGTTTTTTAATAATTTATTTTCTAGACTTCGCTGCACAAAGCCATCTACACTATATGTCATGCGTGCTCTTCTTCCTGTCGGATGCTGCGGCATGATTGAGACCTCTTTCACAACACATGCATCCGTCACCATGGTAGCACATTGAGCGCATGAGCACGAAACAGATCAGCAGATATGTTCTTTGGAGTTTTTTTTTTTTTTTCTCCCACTGCACAGTGTACATGTCAATGAATCTTCATTTTGCATCTGTGACATTTGTGGTGCGAGTCTTTCTGCACAAAATCGCCTCCCGGATTGTATCACTTTACTCAGAACTGTCTGATAAGGCATCGGTTCACTGTTGGGAATTTTACGTTTTCAAGATAACTTTCCATAGACTTTAAAATTCTCGTGAACAAAACTTTTTTTTTTTTTCCCCCCTATGCATGAGGCGTACAAAGATCACCATGGAAACCGAGTCCAGAGTAAATATTCAGCGTGAGGGCAGTCTGTCCCTAGCTGCGAGACTCTTTGCAGGTGGTGACTGTGTTTTATTCTCAAACGCTCACCTGTTTACGGCAGGAACAGCCCCAGGTGTTTAAATTATAAAACTTGCCAAATCCGACCGTTGCAGTCTTTCTGTGAGGAGGGCATATTTGTGCCGCACACGGGTTTTTTGAAAGGAGTGGTCACCATGTGTACACAAACCACTCCTAGCCCGTCTGCTTGTTTGCTAAGCCTGCTACTTTGCATTTCTGTTTTTTTTTTCATTTCCATGTCAGTAAGTCATTTTCCTGAAGGATCCCAAGCAAACTTAAGCAAATGGGCTCACATGACACAGACACTGTGAGGCACATTGTGCACTTGTGACCAGACTGTGCTACCCAAGGCCCATCACTTCATAGGCTCTTCTTGTAGGCTTCAGTTAATATTAAACACTTGTATAAAAGCCAAAAATGATGAAAGTCCAAGCGCCGCCTGCTAGAAAGGCATACAAAGAAGCAGTTAAAAGACTAATTCAAGGAGGGTGTGCTTTTTTAAATAAAAACCAAATGCCCCCTTAGTTGCCGGTGAAGCATTTCTAATGATTTAAAACCAATATTTCAGCTGCTCGTTACAACCTTGGAAATATGCCTTATTAGAACGGCTTAATAACGTTTGTTCATAAGCAAAGTTTGCTTCATTAGCCTATGATACATTAACAAGCTTCAGACACTAGTACGAACCAACACTTTATGTTTTTAGCCAGCAGCAGCACTTCAGAGGCGCGGCTCACCTGCAAAATGTAATTGAAACGGACACCTGTTCACTAAAACGAATGCTTTTCTAGATTTTGTGAGTGAGCAAGTCACACCTTCACACAGACAGTTGTAGCAGAGCACATTGGGACCATTTGGACTGCTCTTATCACAGGAGAAAGCGTAGATTTATAGTTGATGCCTAATTAGGGTATTAATCAAAATATTTATTATTAATAATGTTACCTAATAAGTGCATTTATCAGTTAATAATAATGAGTAATTAATAATAGAACTAGTTAATTCTTTTTCATTATGTACTATCTATTATTAAACCCACCGTCTCACTGGCTGGAGGTCGATGCACCTGCGCATATATAATCTGGCTCCTGGTTGGATGACTCGTCCCATCACATGAATCACATCATGAAACTTAAGCAAACTGGATGTTCACACATGATTCAGTGAACCAAATAAGTTGTCGGCTGTCCAACACTCCGGTCCAGAGTGATAAATCTCCATGACAAAATAGATTCACACGTTAATGTTGTGCAGAGAGGGCTGCAGTTGGTAGCACCGTTGCCTCGTAGCAAGAAGGTCGTCAGTTCTTTCTGTGTGGAGTTTGCATGTTCCCCCCGTGCATCGTGGGTTCTCTCCGGGTTCTCCGGCTTCCTCCCACAAGGTCCAAAAATATGCTGAGGTTAATTGGTGATTCTAAATTGTCCGTGTCTGTCAATGTGAGTGTTCTAAATGTAGCCCTGTGGTAGACTGGTGACCTGTCCAGGTGTCTTCTGCCTTCGCCCTAAGTCGACTGGGATAGACTCCAGCCCCCCCGTGACCCTAGTGAGGATTAAACGGTGTATAGATGATGGATGGATGGATGTTGTGCAGAGGATGAACCTTGATAAATTTGCTACTCCCTTGACTTTAACTCTTGGCAGCCCTGAGGTTGACATGTCTGGCCCTAACATCTTGCCAACTAATAGATGATTTGCTATGAAATGTGGTGCATATATTCCTGATGCAACAAAGATGAATCCAAATAACTCCGGTGGTTCTTTTCTACGGCGTCGCCAGCAGGTCAAAGTTTTCACTGATTGTGAAATAGCTGAATATCTACCTGATGGACTGGCACAAAATTTGGTGCAAACATTCGTGGTTCCCAGACAATGAATCCTAATGACTTTTTTTTTTTTTTTTTAGAAAACTGTATTTCCACTCTGACGTTCATATTTCTGGCTTGGAGGGAGATTTGTCAACAATTGCTAGAAACTTGGCTCAAGCATACGTGTTTCAATCAGGATGAGTTATAACTACTTTGGTGATCTTTGGTTTGTGATCAAATGCCTGGAAAACGAATGATGTTCATGTGCTAGTTAGCCAGTGATCGCTGACTTTGTTTTCCTCTCATCATCTCTTGACTAGACTTGGATCAGCCACTCAGATTTCTTGACATGACTCACCCGCAAACAAGTCACTAAAAATTGAACATGAAACAAACAAAAAATGTAATTACCCTAAGAGAGGAATTGCGAAAATGCAATAGATTGCAAAACAGGAATATATTCTTCAAATCTTGGGCTTTTTTTTTTTCTTTTTTCTTTCTGATGTCATGCCAACCAAACAAAACAAGGCTGGAATGAAATCTTTGGCTGTAATCTTCAAGGCCTGAGGGCCAAGCAATGTAGATGAGTATGCTGTCTGTCTCATTAAACTTCTGCGCTTCTCTTTGAGAAAACTCATCTGACTAACCAGTCATCTCGTGACTCACTCATGAATACTGACATGAGACACACCAGGCTCGTATAAATGAAGACTTTTCTGAAAACATTCGCGTGCATCAGCGTGGTTGCACTTACAAACAAGTGGTTTTCCTCTGACAGATAAAAGGAAGCTACAAACAGGTCGATCTCGAAATATTCTGCTAACAAAACATCAATCAGCAGCAAAGAACTCATTAGATTTATTGACCCAACCCTCAGCTGGTGGGCTGTTTGTCTGATACTGATTCCACCAGAGCAAATAACAAAGATTCCAATGTGTAAACCACAGCAACTGCTTCCCTACTGTTCATATTATGTCAACAGCAGTATGTGTCCGCATCTGCTTATTATAAATTAAGTTTTGACTTGTGAGTTTTCTTTCGGGGACTAGACTTGTTCTCCGCTGACTGGAACAATTTCCCATTTCATCCTAAGACATTGTATGTAGCCATTAGTCCTCTGAAAGCTAGATTTCAGTTGTTCCACGTTACTGACTTTTTAATTGCTAAAAAGAGCGAACAAACGCTCCATATATTGTATCTAACTGATGAATCCTTCGTGACCTGTTGCATGTTTGTCTCTGTGCTTTTCTGTAGTAAACAGCCGCGGCTGCAGCTATGTCGGCGTGTTTCTTGTCGAGGGTGCGGGTCGTCACACCCTGAACTTCAGCATGGCTCAGAAGGTATGCAAGCAGATGACGAGCACCTTGGCAAGTCCAGATCAAGTCGAGGAGGCCTATAGTAAAAACATGGAAACTTGCAGGTGAAACTACAACCCTATGTCTAACAACTGTTTGTACTGATTGTTGGTTTTTTTTAACACTTTTTTGAAGATTTTTAAAGCTTGTTTCATACAATGTGTGTGCAGCTGTACTTCAGAAGAACTACAAACAGACAGTTTAACAATATCGAGCCTAACTCCTAAAGATCTTGTCATGAATTTGTCCCCTTGCACCTTCCTGTTCTGCATGTTTTACATCTTCTTCAGTCCACTAACGGAACGGCAAGTTCACATGAACTTGACAACCATCACACTTCCAAATATAGGAAACCACCAGCTCCTATCTGAGCAGTACGAATGACATCAGTTTTCAGAATGATGTAATGGCCTTGGCCCTGGCAACTGCTTTGCTTTCTTTATCAGCAAACGGTCACATTTTCTAATAATAATTTTCTTCTGTCCATTCAGGAACGGCTGGATCAACAACGGGAGCATCGCCATCCTCAGGCACACGCATCACGAAAAATGTTCACAGAACATGACAGGGTTGATTATTAATTCGCGTGTAGACGTTGGACATGAGTATGATGCCCTCTGCTACGACGACACAGGTGACTTTACCAACAGGAAACGCTCGCTCTTGATCTGTGCGGTTAAATGTTGCCACACAAATTGTCATGTAAATTCTTTTTTTTGCACGTACTTTGTTATTTGCATCTCCGTTTCGGTAATGTTGTCTTCCTCTTTTTGCCAGATTTGTCTGAGATGAACTGTGATAAAGCCTTTGCAGGTCAGTGCAGAATGCCCATTCACCCTCTCATACATTTAACATCATCACAGTTTAAACATCAATACACAGTAAACTTACACCAAGGATCCTATTGCAGGGTTATGTCATTTTTTTGACCTGTAGATAAAGAAACCGCTCAGAACATCTTAGTCTAGATACCGAACGACCTCATCTCTGTGTCGTAAACATCCTCTCAGCTCCTAGCTATGTTACCTGAGGTGGGACATGCGGTTAACCCAAATTCTCTTTGGCTGAACAAGAAAACCGCCGGGTGAGGTTACATTTCTACGGCAATGAGTGCTCATAAAATGTGGCGTTCCCAACCACTGAGTTTCCCTTTTTAACTCGAACGACAACAGTCAAACCATTCATGAGCAGCGGTCGCATTTTGCATGACCTCGTTATAGGCTATTGAAGATATACTAGGACTGCAGGATAAATAATGACTTGTGATGGCAAAATGATCTCTAATATACACACAAACATGGGGATGTGACTCCAAATTGAAAATTTGAAATAAAACCTTGTGTTAAAACAAACACTGTCAACGATGAGGAGAATTTGGGTCACGCTTAGATATGATTCTGTCAAGGCCCTGTTCAATACCTTTATCTATTGTATGAGAGAAATCCAGCCTTGTTGATAAAGCCATCCAGGCATCTTGTGTAGCTGTGTGTTATAACGTGATTATTATTGTGCCGCAATCAAAAGACTTAATATGATTATGCTGTACAGCACAATAACATGATGTTTAGATGAATGCTGCCAGAAATGGTTGTTTTCTTATAAAACATATGAAAAGGTGAATGTTTTGTGATTTGATTACTATTATTATGTTGTAGTTTCTTGACCTTAACATTTAATTTAGTCACATTAATTTGTATTTTATATATTTTATATATTTATTTTATTTATATATATTTTAGATAATATTCTCTAGGGTGTAAACATTAGGATACTGATTAGTAAGGGGAATTTGCACAATAACAATCTACAATTTGCTGTAAATGTACAATTTAAACAAATAATATCATTTAAAAAAGTAATATAATAAAATAAATGTGTATGTTATTATTATTATTATTATTATTATTGGTTCAGATTATATAGATATTGATATATGATATTAGACATAATAATAATAATAATAATAATAATAATAATAATAATGATAATGATAATGATAATAATGTTATTTATTTAATTGTTATTACTAGTAGTAGTATTATTAATTATTTATTAAGTAGTAGTAGTAGTAGTAGTAGTAGTAGTAGTAGTAGTAAGTGTAATAATAACCACTACCAATGATAATAATAATAATTCAAATAAATAATACTTTAGGGCTGTAACTTGTTAAGTGAATTTGTGATGCCACTCTTGTGAAACGACTTGGCTTGGCTCATGTGTGACCATAACATGATGTTGTCTTTGTTTTTTTTGTTTTTTTTCCCCAATCAGTTGAGCCCCCAACACAGCCTGAGGCCCCGACAGCAGCAGGAAGCGAGGAAGAACCAAAGGTGACTCCAGAACCTCAACCTGAGGACATTACTGAGGGCGAGGCCGGTCCCGCGACAGCAGCCCCTGGGGAAGGAGGTCACGGAGAGGCGGAAGAAGCTGCGCCTCCATCAACCTCCGCTACTGTCACAGAGCTGAGCACAGAGGAGCCGGAAGATGCAACGAGGGATCTTACTGTGAAGGAAAACTCCTTTAGCAGGGGCGAAACCATCACCATGAAACCCATTTTAACTCCTGAAGACTTCGACCTGCCTGGGTCTGGAACAGGGCCAACTCTCCCTGAGGAGGACGGGGCCTCTACGACGGCCTCTGTCGGAGCGCCGGAGGAACCACACCATCCCGTTGTAGATGAGGGACCCGAGGAGAAAAGAGACGAAGATGTTGCCAAAACAGAGTGTAAGAAAAACAGACCGCAAACTGCTACAAAGCACAAACAGAGTTGTGTACATGATCACATCTCAGTCCTCTATCCAGGTCTTTGGTCATACAACACCTGACAGGATAACAGCCATGAAATCAAAACACCCTCTTTTTCCCAGAGCTCTAGAAAAGTCAGAGTGCATATTCAACTCTAATGTCCTTTTTTGAATTGCAAAAATATTGCAATGTTCCTGTTAATATATATATTCCTAATAGCAAAGTGTAATGCTTACGCTGATTTGTGTTTAAACTGCATGGAAACGCCATCACATGCAACAGGTTTCGGGAGGACTGCAGTAACTTTGAGAACATAGGACGCCCCCTTGTGTTAGTTTGAGTTGTGGAGAGTTGATTTTGGAAAATGCACTAAAGGCACTGAAACACACAGTTCAAGTTAAACCTTTAAACTTTTAGTTTTCATCAAAATAACAGTACTACAAAATAAAAGCGTTGGACTAAAGGAATTTTCTTATAAGGTGGGAAATGCAAACATCATTAGAGGTATTTTAAATTCGATGGGAATGTTTTTAATAGTTCTGAAGAGTTCAGTTTACCAGTTATCTGGGATGATTAAAATGTTTTTTGTTTTTTTCTTGGCGTGCAGCTCCAGAGCAGCGACCTAATGGCAAAGGACGGGTCATAGATCGTACAGATGAGGCCCAGCAGAGCAGCGGTTCGTCAAGTGAGCGACTTCACATCTGCCCTATAATAAGTGCAGTTGGGGAAGATGCACTCCTATTTGGATTCACTGTGATTTATTTATTTTTTATTATTTCTTGATTCTCACTGGCTTATCATCTCTTCCCTCTAGACTGGCTGATAATTCTGCTCGTGATCCTGGCAGTTGCCGCCATCCTTCTCGTGTGTCTGGTTGTCGCCAAAAGAAACAGGTACCGGCTTTGATTGCTGACTGTTGTTCACATTAAGCAACCGGCAAGTGGCAGGACTCGATAACGAACAAATGTGTCTTCATGCGCTCTGTAGCAGCTGGTGCGGCAGGCAGCAGACCCTCATGATCACATCCAAAGACGGAGGCGAGGGCAACGGGGCGGCGGCCTCGGCGTCCAGCTCGCACAACCAGGAGAGGGAGCAGGAAATGGTGACCCTCATGAACAAGGAGAAGATCCAGGAGAACGGCAACACGGAGGAGTTCACCGTCATCACGCTAGAGGAGTCGACAGACAAAGAGCAGCTGGCGTGAGGGCAGATGCAGGCGGGAAGGAGTGAAGGAGAGTGAGGAGGATGGTCGGGAGAGTAGGCAGGTTGGGGGGGCGGTTGGGGTTGTAAACTGCTTTTGGTGGCCAGCACTGAATGGACACTGGGTGTATGAGTGAGTTGTTTAGAGAGACTGAGGTACACGGCGCTCTGAAACTGTTGGCCCTCAGTGGGACCGGGTCTTTTAAAAAAAAAACAACAACATGTGCAGCATTTTGTTCGTCTGGTGTACCGGGTTAGCTGAGGGGCTGAACGGCGGTCGGCTGGGCGTGGGGAACGTCTTTCGTGTCAGTTCATGTGTTTGTGAATTTATAAGCTGTGTGGGGCTGTGGATGGGTTTTAACGGCGGGCGACTTTTACAGACGGTTCTCCCTTTAGAGATTCGATGGATCCTTAAAGACCGTTCAGCCCAAATGGGAAATAATCAATCAACGAGGAGAACTGATTTATTTTATTTTGAAAATCTAGAAGAGGAAAAAAAAAAAAAAGATTTTTAAAGCGAGCAATCCTTGGTGTTTTCCCGTGTATTTAATTCTGTTTGTTCCGTTGGCTTATTGTTGTTGCCTTGTGTATATTTCAGACATTGCCTGTGGACTGGAATTTGGGTTTTTCCCGATTTTCGAGCAAACCGGGGGGATGTCACTTCTTTAATTTATGCAGCTTTGATCCCCTTTTTCCTGGTCACTGTATATAAAGTATATGTTTTGAAGAAGACTTAGCAATAGCTGCCAGTGCTTTTATGTTTATTTTTCAGTAGAAAGGGGCTTCGGATCCCTTTAAAGTAAAGGAATGTGTCCGTTTTTGGGGAGTTATTTAATTAGAAACTGTACCTCAGAGGTAAACGTTAACGGATTTTGCAATAGTCAAACCGGAGTGGACATCGTATGAATCGACTCGATGTATAGCATCCTAAATTGTGCATTTTTTATTTTTTTGCACTACTGAAGTCAAATAATATGACATTTGCATTGGTTTGGGAATGTGAGGATATCCTGAGGATAATAAAAGTTACAACAATACATACTATATACACAGTGTGTACAATGATTAGAGCAAAAGAGAGAATTGGATGGCATCTATAGCACATTAATCATTTTTTTGGATGCAAATTTGAGTTTTTTTGACAAGTGAGCGACAGAGGCTTAGCTGTAGACTCATGCGATAAAGGGGGCGCCCAACACAAAGCAATGTAAGAGGTTTCCTCATAGACAAACAGAGACTGTGACAACATTGTGTGCGTACTCCCCGAGGGAGGGGGTTTGTGATGAATGGAGCTTGTGTGCTTGCTCAACGCCTCGTGTGCCGGTCGCTCTGTACATTCATACATGTAAACAAAATGCTGCAGTTTTTCTACTGACCTTCTCATTGGTAAAAAAAAAAAAATGATATCATACATGTGTCATATCGATATTATTCCCTGTGTGACAGCGAATTTTTTTAATTTTATTTTTCTTGCCTGGTTTTCAGTATAAAGCTGAATTATATACAGTGATTGCAAACAGATTTTTTTGTTTCTGACTTTTTATTTTATTTTATTTTTTTGCTTTTCATCATTTGTTTTGACAAGAAGTAGCAAATGTACTAGAGTAGGAAGGTTTTATGACAAATTAACAACAACAAAAAGAAAAGAACAAAAAAACAACAATGTGCGCTGAAAAGATTTGTAAAGTCATGAATGAAATAAATGTGCATAGAAATAGATACGCTGGAATGTGGTTGTTCACTCGCTGATTGCTCCGTATGTGTGAAGACAAAAGGGGAGCGAATGAATGGCGCGACTACATCGCTCCCGCGTAAGAGGAAGTTTGGTTTCCATGGCGCCCGGGTCGTGATGCGAGAACATCTTAGCGCAGGAAACAAAGAAAGACACAAAGGCAGCCATTTTGAAAGATAGCGATGGCGTCTTTCCAGCGTGAAAATGCCCGAAATACACTCAGAGGATGACTGTCGCTGTTTATTTTAGCGAGCATTTGTTGCACTTGTGCTTTCATAACGCCGCTCAGGCACAATGCAAATGACAAACGTAGTGAACGTAGCTGAACCGTGGGTCGAACGTGCACTCGCCAATCATTGGTGGTAATATTTTCTTCTTGTTAAAGCTTTAAAGGTCGTCCATACTAAAGGGCATATACTGTATCAGCAAGCAACAAAAGTGCTTTTACCCTGAAGTGAGTGTAGAGAACCTTTGCTCAACTACTAGCCATAACACACATGATATACAGTCCATCCATC